ACAATCAAATATTTCAAAAGCTATTAATTTGCGACGGAAATGAAGTTGATATTCGTGTTCAGCGCATCAATATTTAGTAGAAAATGGACAACCTAAGTGTGAAACGGGAGGAAAAGTAAAAAAAATACCAATTTTATTGAACTCATCTGGGATGAAATATTTGTTTTGGAGCTAGATGTAAATTTATTTCCCTGTTCAGCTAAGGAGTCAATCTTAACATGAAGTTTGATGATTTAAGGGTTTAAGAGTGTGAAATTAGTGAGTGATGTGAGGCAAGACAAGAAATTGGGCAGAATTGTATGCGGCTCTGAGAAAACCTGTCAGATGATGCAGAATTTTGTTTTGAGATATTGCCGAAAATATGCCTTGCGTGAACTTCATTTAAAATAGAAAATGAGATTAGATCTAGATCTATATGAAATTTAGAAAGAGAAACCATTTTTACACCTTGTGTTTATAGGGATTTGCACAAAAATGATTCTATAAATATTTTAAGAGAATTATTTTTGACAGAAACTAGGAAGATAAGACGAAGCGTAGCCTCTCATCTATTCCGTTGTCCGCAGGCCAAGTCAGTTCTCGAAGTCGTCTGCGCGTTACGTGAGGCACGCCAGCCAGCGAACCCAGTATTTGCCTATTATAATTAGGCATCCACGATCAGCTGGTCAATGTGCTTTTTACCATTCCTAAATAAACGCCTAGATTCTACACCTTGCGCGTGCTCATTAAAACAAAGATAAACAAACATATAATATAGATAAATGAATAAATAAAAGCACTTTGAGAAACGAGGTATAGATCTAGATTCTACATATTATCTATACCTCGAATCTAAGGTCTGTCCCTCTAAAATGCAAGTATTACGAGATTAGGAACACTATTATTTATAACTAAATTTTATAACAACTAGATCCAGAAGAGGTGTGTGAGATTTGTGTAAACTATAGATGGTTCACAGTTTTTAGCTTTCTATTTGTTTTGTGTGCCTGGCCTCCTTCCTCATTTCAGACTTTCAGCTCATGGTAAATCATTAAAATTACTGTAAGAAAGATTCGGGCAACTTGACTATCTATTTCCCATCAGCCACTGTCATTTAATGTCAATTGTGCTGCTGTAGGATCAGACAACATTTTCTGCTTCAATAGTTGCTGTATTTGTCTGCTCCCAAACATTCCAAAACCAGGCTTGGAAAATCATTTCAAATGTTCCCACTTAAGCGATTAATTTTTCTGTTCGTTTTTTCAAACCCCCATTTGAACAATTACTGAACGGTTTTTGTTCAATCAACTGGTGGTGTCTTTGAGCTGATGTTGTCTGGTCTTGAACTAAATCCAAACAAGCAAAGCACAAAAAGTTTTCAAGTCTTCGGGCAATGAACCCACCTGCATAAGATACGATATTTTCTAATTGTATAACATGATCCATTTCGCATGATCTTACAATGCTGGCTGCTTGCTTCATTTCATTTGGCAATGGTATAGCATCTGGAAGGGTCAACGATTGGCTGGTAGGCTGCTGTTTATCGTCGACAGGTTGATGAGGAAACTGTCTGAGTCATCAGAACAATTGCTGCCTTCACTTGTCAGTGGAATTTTGTCAACCTGCCTTAAAGTAAATCTGAATTGTTGTGGATCAGGATTTGACATCTGGCCATTTTTCCCTCAGATGACGGGAAAACAGATTTTCTACACAATCTTGATTGAGGGGAGTGGCCAAGATATATTTGACACTGACAACTATGTTTGTCAAATCATTTACTAATGTCATGAAAGCATTAATATAGACTAATGTCATGCAAGCATTAATATAGCCTATCCAACCTCTAATGCAGGGAAGATGAACATGTGTTGAACTTTTTGAGGTTCCATACTGTAGTTTTCAACCACACTAAGGTGTCATTTAGGAATTTGATATATGAAGATGTAAGGGAGATAGCATGTCTGAATGTAGCAGTGTATTTAGAGTTGGCACCACAAGAGTTAAATGTTTCAAAAAGATTGTTAAAAATTGAAACAAAAAACAACAGTTTTTGGCACAGCCTAGCACAAGGCCCTGCGGTTGGCTGAGCACATTTAACGCGCAGACAAATTCAGCCAACGGCCCACCCCTTATACGCTTAGTGCCCTCTACGCCGTAAATCACACATATAGTTACAAGAGTTGCGCATCTTCTGGTTTCCCTTCTGAAAAGGTTTTTTCATGAATGCCATTTAACCTTCTGTTCCATTTCCTGCCTTTCAAACCAAATTTGAACTGCTCCTAATTGAATTTAAGTTCTTTATTCTGCTCTGCAAAGTATTTTTTCGAGTTTAAAATAAGTAAACTGCAAGTTTTGTTTCCAAGTGATTGAGCACTATTGTTTACTTAATTTCAATTTGTTCCCAAAGTAAACTAAACTTTAACACATTACAGCCTAACTTGCCCGGGAATTCCTTTACGCGCTCCACCCTGACTTGCCCGGAACCGCCCGCTCCGACCTAGCGTCTTTAGAAACGAAGTTTCGCCTTGACGAGACTCTGGGGCCGAGATTTTGATTTGCATAGCTATTGCAAAAAGTTTCTTCTTTCGTTTGATACCGAAACGAAATTTTTCGGGCCAGTAGTTTTAGTATTATTAGAGCCGAACGAAGTGCGATTGCGTTACCGACACTTCGTAGGTGTCTCGACTTGTTGAAAGGCGACACAAATGAGTTCGAAAAAGGAAATAACGATGGATTTGAGCAAAAACAAGCATTATGACAAATAAGATGACTCAGATTTTGATGAAAACGTTGTAGCAAGAGTTTGGGGCGATTCAGATTGATCAGACGCAGAAAATCTAGAATTTAGATCAAGGGCCCGACAGCGAGGCTGAGAGTAAGAGCGATGGGTCGGACACCCCGATTGAACTAAACTTAGAACGTTTCCAACAGTTTGCGCATACGTAAAGTTATATTTTTCTGAAACTACATTCATTTTTCGTTTTAACTATTATTTTTTCTGGATTTTTTAAATGTGTTTAGTATTTTTAAAATGTGTTTTTTAACTCATTCGCTACGCTGAGCCGTGGGGGGCGGTGCGGCTCAAGTGCCGTCAGTACGCTAAGCCGCTCCCGGCTGCTCGAGAACCGACGTTCAATTTTAGCTTGGTTTATAATTCCAATCCACATATCCATGTTAAAATAAAGGTCATAATATAATGTTGACTTCCGGGTCAAGCGTTTCCACCCTAAATCTGAAGTTTTGATTCAGTTTTGAAACATGATTTCGTAGTTTATTCGACTTTGTTTTATCGCGAAGCCCAAATTTTAGCCAAGACACCAGTCTTAGTACTTTTACATAACAAAATGTATCATTATTTTGCTCACTAAAGAAGTGTAGGACTCTTTTTTATAATATTGATACTATTGGACGCAAATTGCCGGTGCACTGTAATTGAGAAATCAATATTTTTGAGTGCTAGATCTAGGCCTAGATCTAAATAGTCAAAATATTTTTTTCTCCCCAAAATCACTTCTTTTGGGTGAAATTAATCAAAAAGTACCACTCAAGACATGTATATAGGTTTATTCCATATGCAATTCTGAATAATTCCATGTAAGTTACTCGTATTTTTTTCTGTTTGTGATCCTTTTTTCAAAATTATTTTTCAAAATTTTTTTTTTTCAATATCGGATGTTATGATCCAAATGTACAAATGTTATGGAATGTATGTAAATAACTGCACATCTTTCAATATTTTCCTGTTCTATATACAGTTATGGTTATTTTGAGGTATCGTTTGACTAGGTGCAAACATATTTTTTTAGCTTCACCTGAGATTATAAATTTTTTATTTTCCAATTTTATCCGCATCCAATCACAATTGTGTTGCATAATCGCCTCTTACAGGAACCAAAGTTGAAAAATACGCAAATAAATAATGCAGATGTATTCTACAAACCATACTGAAAATGTTGGTATATAATATGTTGATATTTATTTGAATTTATGGCCCCAAAGACCTGTGAACTGCGCACTGGTCATCATCTCATTTCGCCCTCCCGAAAAGAATTCGTCCACAAGCCGAAAATAATACGTAGCGAATGAATTAAAGGCTTGTATTCACGGGAGGTGGGTTACTTCACCTTGCTTAGGATTTAGGAATGGACTTCCCGTCCAGA